GAGAATCTAGTTCGTTAAGTGATACGTTCATTAAGGAAGAATCTTGTTGTTAAAAGAGGATCCCGATTGGCCGCCGAAAGGTTTATGTACCTTAGCGCCATGAAATTTTATGAATTACGTCGCGGCACTCGCATTCTCGAGCGCGCGAAATCGCCGAAGAATCGAGAATGATGGTGATTCTCTTGACAGAACGTGTTAAGCATAAACGCGCGAAGTGACGTTGTCGCAACCAAATAATAAAAAAAAAGAAACGAAAGAAAATTCACAACAGGCCGCTATCTGCGACAGGAGGATTTATAATGGGTGGTAATTTTGATGATGAAAAAATAGAGGAGGGAAAAAAAGAAGTTTTCCACACTGTTGAGGGTCCATGCGTGTACAGTCCAATCAAAATGTAGCTACGAAAGCGTATCCGATACGGGCCCTCGCGTGAAAACCGAAGCCGCTCTGTACATATTGCATTATTATTATTATATATTATTATTTTAATATTATTAATATTATTAATTACACGATATATAGAATAATAACGATTATTAATTTACCTGCCTATTATTGATTTATTACTATTATTAATATTATTATATTATATATTATTATTCTATTAATATGATCAATTCGTAAATAGATATATTGTAATATTTGCAAAAATGAGAGAGAGAGAGAGAGAGAGAGAGAGAGAGAGAGAGAGAGAGAGAGAGAGAAAATCACACGCGTTATTATACGCGGGTCATTAGCACCCGCGTACAAAACACACACACCGAATCACACACTTATACTTCAGTATGCCAGTGTTGTATAATAGTAAAAGCTCTAAGTGTAATTTTCTCCTCTAACCCGCGCCTTCCCCATCCTCCGCTGCCCCCCAATCCCCCGCCCCTCCCTCCCCCCCTCCGTACGGAACTCTCAGATCCCTTTTTCTTCGCCACCTATTTAAATGACTTAGTAATAACGTGGAATGCGTGAGAGCATATTGTGTTTCAAAAGGTCCGTGGCCGTCGGATATTTTTGAAGGACACTTTGTATGATGTAGCTATCATGTAATTATACCAGCTGATGATTATTAAAAAAAGAAAACGTAATCGGAAGGAAAGAGATTGACTAACACACCAGCATGAGAAACAAAGGAAGAAAAAGAAAAAAAAGAGAAAAAAGAGTAAAGAAGACGAAAGGAGAGAGGGTGAAGCTAAACGTTGTAAAAACGCAGTCTTATAGCGATCGTAAGGTTGCGTTCCGTACGTACGCGCGAGCGCTGCCGCCACTTCGAGTAAAGATTATGAATAAAGAAACACCATCGTATTGTAATCTAGCTACACGAGACACGCCGAGAGAGAGAGAGAGAGAGAGTGAGAGAGAGAGAGAGAGAGAGAGAGTGAGAGAGATAGAGAAACGCGCGGACACGCACTTATTACGCGTATAGTACACTTCCACACATACACACACACACACACACACACAGCCAAGCAAACATGTACACACCGAGCGAGGGTACTCATATGCCAGTGAATATGTACACACGCACGTACATCGATTCGCGAGTACACGCGGCACGGAACCGTTCGTACGGCTCTCAACGGCGCGCGGAAGGTGGAGTGCTTTCCTTCTTGGTTTCTTTCCTCTCTTTCTCCACTTGCGCTAAGTCACGTTGGGCGAATTAACAAAAAGGGACGAGAACGACGCGACGTGAATCCCGCGACGTGAATGACCGCTGTGTCGTCGATCTCGCACGGCGGAACTCGATTAAGGTCAGCGGTCGACCTTGGTTGGGTGGACCAAATTCTCGGGCAGGCTGTCACGTGCGCGACCGGCTCCTGCGGACTCTCTCGTGGCGGATGTCGATGTTCGCCAAGCCATTTGCCGAACATCGACATGGTCGAGATTACGCGCTTACGTAACCGCCAGGCCTCGGGACTTTGTTCTTTTCGTACTTTTTGTTGTTCCCTTCCTTTCTCTTTTTATTTTTCAAGACACATATATATATATATATATATACACACACATACATACACACACACACACCGACGGGAAATCACGGTGGAAACCAACCTCGGCACATTCCTTGCTCTTAGCTCGCGTTTCGCGGAGGAAAAACGCGTCGGCCGAGCGTTCGAAGGAACACTCGGCCATCCGGAGGAGGACTTTGACTCTTCCGAGGAACGAAAGGCACGTCCTCCTCATTTCTTCCCTTCGCGAATCGGACACGCTTGTTGTCATCGGCACGCCGCCGTCCCGTCGAGCTGTTGAGAGCTCGCGGAAAAAATCGAACGTGGTCGCGGGCGCATCCGGTGCGCGCGGTTTTCCTTTTTCCCTTCCTTTCTTTCCTCCCAGATTTCTTTTCGAAATTGTACAATAGCGAGGAAAACGAGCGAGAGGATTGCTGCGAGAACTAGGGAAGTAAAAGAGAGAGAGAGAGAGAGAGAGAGAGAGACAGAGAGATAGCAAACTAAAACAGGCGACGAAGTTGAACGGAGAGAGAGAAACGGTAAAATCGAGTGTAGATTTAAATAAACAATTTTATTAGTGAAAATGAGGGAATAATCGTAAACAACAAAAAACCCAAAAGTATTTGGCTTAGTATGGCTGTGTTTAGGGCAGTGTGTAAATCTAAAAGTGGTGTACCTTTGTGGTAGTGTGAACTCTTGACGCGAGTGCGGAGAAGAGAGAGAGAGAGAGAGAGAGAGACATTCGAACGCTGCGCGCGCCAACGCGAGGACTCGCGCGCGTCCGAGTTCAAACGTTCAATTGTTCGAAGAAGAATGAAGGTCCTTGTTAATATTAACGAACACGACGCCGATCGTCTCCGCCGTGTGTGTTTCCGCGACGGATTGCAAAAGGAAGAGAAGGAAATGGAGAGAGAGAGAGAGAGAGAGAGAAAGAGTAAGAAAAAATGATAGACGATCGAGCGATGCTCTTCCTCCTCTAAGACGACGTCTCGGAAGCCGTCTCCGTGGCGCGCCCGTTGCCGAAGGACGAAGGCAAGGACGAGCGACGCGAGGCTGCGATGATGACGGTCGGACCCTTGCGCGACACACGGTCGATCGACAATACCAACCAATGGTGCTTGCAACCGACGTTCTAGGCATTTCTCTCACGGACGGTTGCTCGTGGAAGCGTGCGAGAGTCGGCGAAGTCGGCGCCGCGGAGGGACGCGTTGGTGCGCGTGGCATTCGTAGCGATTTACTAATGTAAGCGAGAGAACGAGAGAGCGAGAGAGCGAACGAGCGAACGAACGAGCGAACGATAGATAGGGCGACAGAGACAGAGGCGAATGAAATATACGCAACGCTATCTGTATATATGTATGTGTGTGTGTATATATATATATATATGTATGTATATATATATACATACATATATATATATATTATATACGATTTTTGTTTTTGTCTCCTTTTTTGTATTTATCGAGGGTATATATCCGAGGATGAGCATAGGCCACGGTTTATAACGCATACACACCCCAAAAAACACACACGCGCGCGCGCGCGCGCGCGACGATGAAGATAATGAAGATTATGAATGAATGAATTAATTAATTATCTGATATAGACGATAACTGCAGACAAAGCTATGGAATATAATAATTATTATTACAATATTATTATTGAAATACCGAATATATAGAGTACTACTTTTTATTATGACTTTTCGTAAATAGTGAATTAATTATCTAATTAAAGATTAATGAGACGCATAATATAACGTTTATCCCACCCACACTACCCTCCGTCTAGAAGAGTCGACACCGATCTTTCCCCCCGTTTCTCCCTCGCGAGCCACTGAGCGAAAAAAGAGGAAGCCCGTCGCTCTCTCCCTCTTCCTTCCTCGGCAGGTCCCGCGCGCTCTCGTCCTCCGATAGCGCATTCGTCGCACGATAAGAATTGCACAATATAACGCGATGCGTGTGTTCCTCCGTATGCGCGAAACGGAATTTCGGCCGTTCTCGCGGAACGGCGCCGAGATCGAGTAGAAAGAAAGGAAACGAACATCGACTCTCGTCGCCGCCGATGGTCGAAGAGAAACACGTTCTTTACCTCTCCTCCCGACGAAGAAGAAACCGCAGAGTGACTTAGGAAAAACTTTAGTTACACTTATGATCGCCATCGTCGTCTTTTTTTATCGATCGTTTTTAGCGTTAAAAGAGAGAAAGAGAGAGAGAGAGAGAGAGAGAGAGAGAGAAAAGGGAAAAAATATATATATATATAAAACGTAATAACGCCGCCGCCGCCGCCGCCGCCGCACACGTGCTCCGACGTTCACAACGCCAGTTCCAGAGAAACAAAAAAAGAAAAAGAAAAAAAGAGGAAAGAAAAGAAACTTTTGCTACCGTCGTTTTTATAATTTTAGAAATGCAAAACGGATATCTTTTTTATGTAATTTGCAACATATAGATAAGAGTAATGTATGTTGATCGTGAATATATAACGAGCATTGTTATATGATTATTAAAAGAAAGAGTTTCGAAAATACATTCCAATTTTTATTTTTCCGCCGGCTTATAGATTGTACATGAGCGAGGAGGGGGGCCCTTTTACACAGCGTGTGTGTGTGTGTGTCTCGTTTGTACCGTCGCAGTCGCATCAACCTGCGTTTGTACGTTTGTAGAAGCGAGAGAGAGAGAGAGAGAGAGAGAGAGAGAGAGAGAGAGAGAGAGAGAGAGAGAGAGAGCCGAGCACCCACGAGATGCGAGATAGAGCAACAATTTCTGCAGTCAGCGATTTTGCCTCCTCCGCGTTCGCGTTCGAGTCGTTCGACGCGCGAACGAGGAGAGACTAAGGTTTTTCTGTACATATATATAATATATATCTGTCCGAAGGGCGACTCGTCGCAGGTTCGGCCGAATATCGGCCGAATCATGTAAACTCGCCCGTCCCGTCGCTCTTTCAGTTTCCGCCGGGCCGCACTACTTCTTCTTTTCTCTTCTCGTTGTTTTACTTTGTAATAGCAGAGCAGCAGCAGCGATCGAACGCGAGCGACGAACGCCAGCCTGTCCGAGCTGCGAAAGCCTCTCGATAATTACGATACTCGCGCGATACCCGTAGCCTCGTTGAAGCCCTCTCCGCTGTTCTCGCGACTGGGGTAAAATGCGACAATCATCCTCTCCCGCACGAGTCGGGGAGATCGTTGAAACTTCTTATCCGACGGAAGTCACATAATTGTCACGCCCATCGCCGTGTGCTCTAACGGAGAGACAAACTCGACTTGTATTTATCTCAGCGTAAGGATCATCGATACGCGATCGATACGCGTTATCGTTAGTTCCACGAGTCTCCGTAATCGTCGAAACGGAGATACGCATTCGCGGTGAAAGCGACGAATTCCCGTGGCGCTTCTCATCCGACGTTTTAAAAGTCGAGCGCGCATTTTCGTCCCGACTCCGTCGCGCGCTCCTTCCTCCTCGATCGTGCTCCTCCTCCGTTCGCCAAGATCCTCTCTCCCTCTCTCTCTCTCTCTCTCTCTCTCTCTCCCAGGCTCTCCCGACTCGTGAGCGTTTTCCTCAGCGGCGAGAAGCTCCCTCCACTGCCTCGTTCGAAGTTTTCCCCCACAAGTTGCGTTGGCCACTTCTCTCGCGCGTCCGCAACACACGACACAGCCGCGGGGACCGAAATCTGTGAGGAAGGCGCTTCGAGGCGCCTACCTGGACCTGGTCCAACGCCAGGTCAATTTTTGCTCTCTCCTCACGCCGTGTGGCCGGCGCCTTCGCCCCGTGTCTTCTCCCCCTTGCTTTCCTTTTTCCGTCTGGCTGTATGAGGATTAACACACACACACCCCCACACACGTCTTACCTTTACTAATCGCAGCGGGTAGCTTAAGGTAACGTAAGAGAAAGATATGCCGAGGCGCGTAAGAGAATTATACATATATGTGTATATATTTATACATAACACTACCATTAACGCAACATAAGAATCTGAACATGAAATAAAGTTTACGTATCATTATTTGAAAACACTGCATGTTGTACCTGTGTGTTTTGAGACACCTTTTTCACGAAGCCGCAATGGACATTTTTACGAGAGAGAAAAAGAGAGGGAACGAATGAGTAAAGTAGAGATAGAAAGAAAGAGCGAGAGAACAAGAGAGAGAGAGAGAGAGAGAGAGAGAGAGAAAAAGAGGCTAACTTTGTAAAATGTGGATCTCAAGTAAATAACTAATCCCTTTCACCACACAGAGATATATAGTAATAAATATTGAATAAAGAATGAATTTGATTAACACTCTCGTCAAGGGCGATTGATACACTCCAATTATTTTATCGTTATCCTGCGCGTGCGTTACCGTTATTTGTGCATTCTCTCGTTGCTAATCGTCTTTCGACTTGGCGCAAAAATTTTCGGAAGCACGCTTTCGAGACTAGAGCGAGAGAAAGAGAGAGTGAGATAAAGAGAGAGAGAGAGAGAGAGAGATCGACTTTCATCGCGTTGTAACACGTGATCGCGTCAGTAGGATCCACGCTTTTTCTCGGGAATCGATCAAGGTCTGAGATCGCTCGGCGGGATTTTCCCTGTGTTTCATCGTTTATTTATCGTTTATGCTTTTTCACATACGTAACGCGACGAGTCCTTGCGTCGCACGCACGATAACGGGTGACGCCGAAGAAGGGAGGAAGTTCAGAGTCCTTCGGCCAGGCGTGCGTTTGTACGCGTGTAATCGCGCTGCGACGCACACGCCAGCAATGTGAAATTATTGTTATACATATCACCGATAGTGTCACGCGCCTTCCTACGATGCGCTCAATATACAGATATATATATATTTAATATTAACTTATATATATATATAAATTAATATTAAATATATATATGTGTGTGTGTGTATGTGTATGTATGTATCTGTACCCGGAAAGTTATATATATATATATATATGTATGTATGTATGTACGATAGATTAAAATTGAATATTGCTCAGCTAGAGAACGACAACGAGGGGAAAGGAGAGCGTCCTTTGCCACGGAGAGAAGGGCGTTACTTAACGCATCAACACAATGCATCACGCGCCAAAGTAACTCAATTTTTACGCTTCTTCGCGCGGCCCAAGCTGTTTCCTCCCGGCGTTTCCGAGAAGCGTTGTCGAGAATCGTCAATAAAGGAGAACCTGCGGAGAGCAAATATTTGATTAACCAATGGATCATCTTTCCGATGACGTTCCTTATCGCGCTCGTTCCATTTCTTTTTCTTTCTCTCCCGAAAGAATGCGAGCCCGACCGGTAATCGTTGATAATCTACACGCGCATTTACGACGGGAATAACATCGAAAGGAACTCTGCGATAACTTTCGGGATTTTTCGCAGGAATTCGTTTTCGCGGCCGATAAAATCGATCGTTCGACTGTCGATCCGTCATTCGCCGCGCGAGAGAAAAGCGATTTTCATACGGGACACTCTCGCTTGCGCACGGCGACGATACTTGCGATACTTAGATTTGAGAGATTGCTCGCGATATAGACGGCAAGCGGATTTGAATATCGATCGGCTGCTCTGCGACGTTGGTCATTGAATTGTAAATCAAGCGCTATTCTTCGCATTATGCGCACGGTTTTGTCTTTCCGCAAACATCGCTATTCGCGCTGGAGTGTCCGCTATTACATCTCGGTGACCTCGAAAGGGTTGATAGAATTCGTCAATTGGTCTGTCCCTGATGAGGAAATTGCTGCGAAAAAAATTATATATTATATCATCTCTCCCTGAGGTCATCCTAAATTCGACGACGAGAGGTACGTCATACGTTGCTAACAATAAACAATTAATATTGCCATACCCGCAGGTGAGCATTGGTACAAACATCACTGCAATGGCACGAGCGATTGCAATTGGCGATAACAATAGCGTCGGCGAATCGACATCCGACGCGAGTCTCCACGAGGCTGCTTGAAGTTAACCACGGCATTTGCTCAATCAAATGCGCGACCGATGCACGAAGGATCGGAGGATCCTCGAGTTAACCGCGTCGTTGGGAAAATTTCTCGAATTTTCTGGGAGAAAGCGAGCGCGACTCGATGTACGTCATGAACGCGGCCGCGCAGGCGCGATCGCAATGGCGGCGCGAAATCATGGCGCGAAGACATCGACGGACGCGCGGATCGTAGAATGCTTGCAATACTGTACTCTCAGATACGGTGAACGTAAATCGTGTGAATGCTATCGCGCCGTTATTTCTGAGCGAATATAACGTTCACGATTTACGTTTACCGTATTTGAGAGACGGTATTGCCGAAAAAACTTCCTAATAGCGCAAACTCACCGCGCAATCTGTCGCGCGACATGCGACATCAGGCATTTTGCGCTCAACTGTGCGCGGCCGCTTTCGTCCGGAGCGAAGATCCTGCGCGTCTCGAGAGACCTCCTTCGATATGTCGGTGACGAGATATCTCTCGTGCGACGTAACGTCTCACTCACCGTGGCGCTAATTGTGCATTTCTGCATTTGGATCGATCGAAATCTTCTTCAGTGTGTCGAACTCTTCTCTTAACGGTGATCTTCGTGTCTCCAGAAGATGGGGGCGTGTCTGATCTCTCCCCTTCTCCCCCCTCTCTCGAGGAGAAATTCGGCCGAACGTCTACGAGGGAGCTGTCCGCGAGGGGCTTGATATATCGCGCGCGCGCGCTCTTATTTACGAGAAATATATATCGATAACGTAACACCGCATCGGGAAGCTGCCCGAATTCGTGATTCGGGCGGCCGTGCGAACTCGTACGTTACTGCGCTGTCATCGAGGAAAAGCTCCGAGACACCGTGTGTCACTTTGTGAGCCTTGCTACGCGTGGCCACGGCGACGGCGACGGCGACGGCGCCGGTGGTAGTGGCGGTGATGGTGGTGGCAAACTGAGGCGACAAGCGGAGACGACGGCCGCGCGCGTCTTTGTGTGCCGCGCGAGCGAGCGAGCCTTCAGTGTTCAGTTGCAGGTTGATTGTGCATGTGACGGTATTTGTGTCGTCGCCCTGCGCTGCTGTGTCGCTACCGTCGTAATAGCGCGTATAAGAAAGAGAGAGAGAGAGAGAGTGAGAGAGGCGGGAGGGAAGGTTCGAGAAAGGAAGGGAAGAGAGACAGAGAGAGGTACGAAAAAGGAAGGGAAAAAAGAGAGAGAGAGAGAGAGAGAGAGAGAGAGAGAAAGAAACAGTCGACAACTAGTGGTATGTGTACATGAGACAGTTGTTCGTTCTCGCGTTCTCTGTGTGTCGTCAGCCAAAAATAGACAAATGCACGACGAGCGCGCGTCGTCGTCGTCGTCGTCGTCGACGGTGGTTCCTCGCACCTTCTGCCCGTTCTGTTCATCGACGATGATGCTCGTTGGCTGTTGAGAGAAACGAGAGCGCAGCTACGAGATCAGCGATCTCCGGGGGAGATGGAGGTGCTCAAGACGTCTCAGGAGATCGTCCACGAAGGATGGCTCATCAAATCTCCGCCCACGAAACTCTGGAGAGCGGTGGGTGCAGGGCGATCACGCATCGCTCCCTCGTTATCTGCTTATTGTTTGTGTCTTTTATTCCGCCCGATTGACAAGTCCTCCGTGGGTCCTTCTTTATCTTCGAACGGCGCTTCGAGTATTTCGGCTAACCTCTCGTCGCGAGAGCGTGATGATTCGCTTCGCGATAGTCGTAGTCCGAGCCTTCGCTCGGATCGCTCTCGGTTTAGCCTAATTTCGCGAGAATACACACGATATCTTTCTCTTCACGTGTCCAGCCACTTTCGAGGCTCATGCCGCCGATGAGGAAAAGTAGTCCTCGCAATAAGCGGTGTAATATGTTTGTCGGCCGACTCGAATGTTTATTAAAGTTCCATAGTTGGTAGGAGTGCTGCGGGTAATGCAGCGTTCACACTAGGCCGCGTTGAGAGAGTGATGTGATTTTTTTTATGAAAGTAGATATTGGTCTTATCAAAATGTTTGTCCAATTAGCGATGGAGGAAACGCTGGTTTGCTCTGCGTCATAGCGGCGAGCTACCTGGCCAGTACTTTTTGGAGTATTATACGGATAAACGTTGTCGCAAACTCAAAGGTCGTATCGATCTGGATCAGTGCGAGCAGGTATTCGTCGTTTACTTATTGTGTGTCTGATTAAGCAATGACTGTGAGCGCTGAAGAAACATCTACCGCAGGTAGACGCAGGCCTCCGTTTCGAGAATCGAAAGCAGAAGTACCAGTATATGTTCAATGTAAAGACGCCTAAGAGGATCTACTATTTAGTTGCTGAGAATGAATCTGATATGAACAAGTGGGTGGATGCTGTGTGCCAAGTTTGCGGTCTGAAAGCGTACACTCAGGATGAGGAGCAACAAAGTAATGTAACAGCTGAACCGACGCATTCTCTCGCCTAACTCTCTGTTTCTTCGCTCTAGTTATATTTCAAATAAACATTTCTCTACTAATGTACATTCTTTTTCTCCTCAGTGTTTCCTTATGAGTCCCAAGAATCACCACCGACTTCACCCACTAGCACGATTTCTGGTCCATACATTCCCATCAGTGAATGCATTTCTGGCCGTCGACTCAATGACACCAGCTCCTTGAGTTCAGCCCTCTGTCAAGGTCCTGAACATTACGATGCTCCAAGAAGGTTGGCACCCTCACCACCTCGGTCACCAACGACGACAGATGCCGAGAGTGTGTTTACCGATGATGAGTGGACAACGCCTGTGCCTAGTGTGAATTGGGATACGTTTCCTTCAACGGGTGAGTATTTTCTAACGTTCACTCGGTACAAGCTGTCGGGTGTACAGGTGTACGTTTGTTAACGAGCCAACTTGTGCTAGGTGACTCACGACCATCTCATGGCTTGAGTGACGCCGAGATCGGTTCGTGGAGCGTGAAGAAACGCTTTGGTAAACTGAAGATTGTTGACTCTGCGGTGCCGCCGGCCGTGGAGAAGTTACCAGCTCCACCTAGACCGCCGAAACCACCTCACATGTTGCCGGAGAACCCCGGACACAATTATTTGAACCTGGACGGTGCCACCGAGAGCTCGAAACCGACCACTCCGGCGACACCGGCGCCGACAACGCCAGCCGCGACAGCCACAGCCGCCGTTACCGACGAGTCGTACGACTTCCCGAGATCTCATCAACCGGCGCAATCAACGGCGAGTGTGGAGAGCACGGTAATCGATCAGTCGTCGAAACACTTTTATTCGAACGCCGCGCCCAGCACCGTCGACGACAACGCGCATGTGTTCCGTTATGATTTCCACGAGGATGAGCCGCCGAGTCCGCGCTCCGAGAGCTCGACTACTGCGACCTATTCAAACTTGCCGAGCCCGCTCGTGCGAGACAGTACGAGCGCTGTGCCGACGACCATGCCGCCGCCGCCGCCGGTGGTGTACCGGGAGCTGAAGCCGGGTAGGAAAACCAGCGACTCGATGTCCGTTGTCAGCAACGAACCGTCCCCGGGTCCCACGATAGCGGTGGGCGAGGTGAGCTCCACCGAGCACTCGCCGGCTGAGCCGCCGAGTATCAACAGGAAGTTGAAGCCGCCGTTAAATAAATCGCCGGTGGAAGGTAGGTCTCTCGCTGTACAGTAACGTTGAGAAACTCGAAGAGATCGTTCTCGGCACGGGTAGCAGCTGACTGTACGTTCGACTCTTGATCTGCAGGACCCTTGCAATTAGCCTCTCCGCCTGGCAAAGGAAGGATGAGAGCAGCGCCCAGTCCGACGCCCCCGTCGCATGTGCATGCGACACGTCACCAATCGACATCGGACGAAGACAACAATGCCTTCGAAGATAAAGAAGAGGTACGTGTGTATTCCGAGCGATTCCGAGAACTCTCCACGCAGTCTTGGTAGTCGCGTGACGCGGCGGCGCGGTGACTTCACGCGATTGTAACGCGTAATTCGATTTGCAGATATACTACTATCAAGACCACAACACGTTCATTCCCGCGTCCAATCGTCGCTTAGTCGTGCTGCAGTATTTGGATCTCGACCTGGAGGCGACGGAGAGCTTCAGCTCGTCGACGTTACCCTTGGCGCAGTCGCCGCCGAACACAACCGTGTACAAAACCGTGGATTTCCTGAAGACCGAAGCTTTCAATCGTACCCGGCAACGGGTCGAGCGGGAGAGGAAACTATGCACGGACGGTTAGCGCAAGAGATCGTTGTATCACACACGGTACTGGATGAATCATGCGGATATATCGAGCGAGTTAACGACAGTTCGCGCAAAGAACTTCCTCTCGTCTATTGAAGAGAGAAAGATAGAGAGGACGGAAGGTCATGGGACTTGCTCGTATATTTCAGCGTTATAAAACGCATATGTAAAACAGTACTGCAGCGACGTAGTATATCTCCCAGATGAAAGACTGCGATGTAAATGCAGTACTTACCGTAAGACAGCATCCAGTGCTTCTGCAGAGCGCATCTTATCGTTTATGTAGCAGCGGCTCGCTTTATAAATTGGCTATGCAGTTAGGAGAGAGATTGGTTGCCGAAGCGTTGTACAGCAATATAAAATGGACCAAAAATCTAATGTTACTAGGTAAGAGAGGGGCGGGGGGGGGGGGGAGCGAGGGAATGTAGGTAAGTGCGATGAGCGAGAGGGAGAACGCCTTTGCATTGACCAGAGTTTTCGAAGGAAGACTCCCTCGACGGAGGCTTCTTCGATTAGATTAAGTATTATACAAGTCGTAAAGATTCTTATATCCGGGTACAATTAATGGTTTTACGTTAGTTTGTAACGTAGGGTTAACGCGCAAGGCATTTTTATCGTCAACTGTGCAACGAATGCTTAATTGGCGAATTTGATGAACGAAATCTGTGGCGGACTCCGTTCATTGAACCCGCTCACATTGAGGACATCCTATTTTCTATAGCATTAGGTGAATAACATATGATATTTTTTTTATCATGTCGCACGCCAAACACAGAATCAGTTTCGCCAAGGCAATCGAAGATGTGTGTATACGACGTCAGGGGAATCGTCACAACGTCAACGTCAATTGTCGCGACGTCAGTGAGATTGCACAGTAAAAATGCATCGGATTTTAACACGTAGATTCTATCGTCGGAAACTAGTCCAGCATCATTGACTATTTTGAACTTACCATATGCCTTGGTTGCGAGACACAAAGATGCGATTTTTAATTTTTATCTTTATCTCAGATTTACATTTCTTTCCGCGAAGCGCAATCGATCCGAACTTCAGTTACTACACACACACACACACACACTCGATACTTTGCGATTTGCACGTCTCTCGCAATTGTTTGCTAGTAACTAGGAGACATGATCAACGTGAAAAAGAAAAAAAAAGAAGAAAAATCAGGATGTAAAGATGTGTATCATAGTTGACCTCCAACTGTTCTTAACTGTAAACGTGTATGCCATAAATGTATATGTATACGTATACGCACATACATAACATACATATACACGCGCGCGCGCACATACACACACACACATACACACACGTGCGCGTGTACACTGACAACGCAATTTTATTTTTGTAATAACGCTGTTGTAATTGTAAAGGAAATTGTTATATCATTGTGAATTGATTGAATGTATAGCTCGATCGTAGTCTTCTCATACATACAAGAGATATTTTTCCTAGTTTCAAATTAGAGTACATGTATAGCGTAGAACTATTTTAATGTTACGGACTGAGTTTGTAGCAAATCGCAGGATGATGAAAACTTGCCAAATCTTGCAGATTCGGACTGATCGCGGCATCAGTTCAAACGTATAATAGTTGCTACGAATTCATTCTTGTATTTTTTACATTACGTACATGCTCATCAAGCTTGTGAAGTCGATGGATGTTGTCGAAAATCTTGCAATATATTACTCGTACGAGTCGAATATCGTGTTCTCCAAATCGCTCAAACGTCGATTATTATCCTGTAGTCATGTTTTATATGTTGACATTAATGTTATCGAGTTCTTCTGTTCGTCAGGAAAGGAAGATAGCGTTGGAATCGATGCAACGTTTCACAACAAACATATCCTGTAACATTTCATATCGACCAAATATTTGTCACTCTGTAGTGCGAATTGTATATCCCACCAATTGTAAGATAGATATAAATAGGTTGGTTTATTCCTTTTGTTTATACATTGGACGGCGCATCACGCGTGTACATTGCATATCATTAAAAAGATATAAGCACCAATATGAATGAACCATTCGCATTTCCCTCTGTGACACGTGCAAAAACGTCATTCCTATTGATATGACGAACGTCGTTTCCTCGATGTCACCGTCGTAAGTCCAAGTTAATCTCGACTGAGTCAACCGCGACGTTTTGTTCATTCTCCATCTTTCTCAACAGACATAATCACAGCTGCGCGAATACTCATCTCAATCTCACAATCTCAGCCGACATTGTACTCTGGCTCTTACAACACGTATTTCTGATGTAAAACTTGGAAGAGATAATCTAGATTATCCCATCGAGTTGGTTTTACGAATTTGATGATTTGTATGCCTCGTGTGTAATCTAATTTATATAATTTCCGCACGTCGTCATGAAGTAATTACCTTTACCCGACGTCGATATGACAGGCGCACGATATTGCCGGCGGCGCGCGAACATGGCGGCCGCGCGCGCGGACGGTCGCTAGCGGGCGGGAGTGGTGGGGTCGTCGGCCGAACTCGGGCCGGTTCGCAGTCATTCGTTCGGCGAGCGCGGAACGCGCGTTGTCTCACGCTTGGACCTGTTCGGACACGTCGCGTCGCGTTACTCACGAATACGCCGCCGCCGTTCGTTCGTGCTTTCGGCGTCGTATCGTTACGGGGCCGCGCGTGCCTTCGTTTCGTCTGGTTTCATATCTCCCGGGACGTTCGCAGGAACAGTCGCGCGGCGCATGAGATTCGCGTGTAGTCGCCGTTCTCGTCCGCCGTAGTGGTGCGTAACTACGTATCGTGTGCAACGTTTTGTGCTTGTTGCGCCGAGTTCTTTCAAAGGGAGTTCTCCTCGGTCCGCAGCCGTCCTGACCCCAACGACGAGGAGGGCGAGAGGGAGAGAGAGAGAGAGAGAGAGAGACGAGGAGAAAGGAGGAGCCTCTACATAGGACATCGGCACTGAGAAGCGTTGCGCCGAGATTCTCCAAATTTTCGAGGTATGTACCGCGCGCGTCCTGCTTATGTGCGTATATGTGCGCGCGCACGTTGTACTTTTGGAGTCCCTTTTGGCTCCGTTTCTCCGTTCGCTCGAGCCACCACCTGTTGGCCATGGAAAAGTGCAACGACTCGTGACGGCCGATGCCTCAAATCGGACGCCCGCTTTATTTACTCGAGAGAAGCAGCGTCACCGGCGCGAATGTATGTGTGTGTTTATGTATATGTATACGCGCGACGCTGTGTCGCGAATGCGAGTCTGATTTGCGAAAGATACATGCGATTCCGATCGAAGCGAGCGCGATCGAGAGGAATTCGCTTCCCCGGAGCGTCCTCCTTTCGTGAAGACAACGTTGCTGTCGGAAGCGACGTTCACAGCCACGTTTCATAGCCGAGATCATGTTTTCGAGATACCTCTCGCATTTTTCCATACCGTCGTTATTTGTTTATTCTCACGTGCGCGGTTTCTGCTTGTCTCTCTGTGCTAGAGACTGCCTCGGTATTGTTTGTTTTGATCTTCCTCGGGAAGACTCGCGCTCGTACAGGTAGAAAAAAAAAGCCGAAGGTCACCTGACGTTCAGAGGACTTCAGCCTACGATAGGAATGTATTTGACGCGTGTATACAGGGTGCTCCGTTCCTAACGATCGCGAAGGCCCCCATTCGTGAGTTTCGTCAAGATAACAACTTGGAAGCTGCCGACTCTTCGGCAGCTCGAGTTATTTCCAGAGAAAGGAAAAAGTGGCACGTGTGTCGTCCGATAACGGGGATGGAGCATCAAGTCCTTCCGCTCTGCGCGACGAATCTCCGGGTTTGTCGAGTGAATAATTTTCTCCCGAGCGAATTTGGCGTGACGGAAAAGTTGACGGATGTCGGACTTAATCGTGCTCGGTGCCGATCGGAACCGACTGCGCGTGCGCGCGCGCGCGCGCGCGAATCAAATACGTTAAAAGCCGTTGATGAGAGAGATACACAAGGCAGATCTTGCGCAGCGGCTGTTATTAGACTCCGGTGTCTATTTAATTTCTCGGCGGGATAAGATCTATCGAGGATTACGAGCTGAGAAGGAGATACGATCGCGGAGAAGGGAGGGGGGGGGATTCTCAGTGCCCTCGCCATTGATTCGCATTCCACTCGCATGACTCCGTATCGCTGTGAGAGAATAACGGAAGTTCACAGGGATATTTGCGCCTTCGCTCGACTTCCCGGAGAAAAGAGAAAAGAAACATGGCGGGAGGTGTGTACAGCGAGCTGAGGACAGTCTTAATTGCGGCACCGTGATCGCAGCTTTGACCAGCGACGTACGTTTCCCGGTGTTCCCCGCGAACAATGAATTCTCCCGGTCGTCCGTGTTTGTTTCCATCTCGCCGAGTGTTTGAATCTCCCTCCCCCTCCCCCCTTTGCCCCCCTCCCGTTGCGCGTCCTCCCGAGCGAATCCGCTCGCTTCTTACTCCCGCGAGATCGCGATGCATAATATCTCCCGGAGAGCGCATATAAAGTTGGATTTAACTTTGCAAGTTAAATTTCACTTTACGAGGTAGACTCGACTCGGCGAGTTACGTTCGACTAATTTGAATCAAATGTAGTCGGCGTCTTACGACGGGCATATTTTTCTTCGGCGATTTACATGTCAATGGCGGGCCTCTCTCTTTCTCTCTCTCTCTCTCTCTCTCTCTCTCTCTCTCTCTCTTTCTTTTACTTTACTCGGCGTATAAATCCATCGGGCGGTTTTTTTACGCGCGGAAACGTCGCCAGGTCCCTCGGTGTTAATTATTCGACTTTTGTAAATAGCAGGAACGGTGTGGATTATACATCGTTGGATTATTAATTAATTTAATTCATTATTAATTTATTTATTAATAATATATGGGTCGGACCTCTTTGGTGTACAGTAGTGTTGAGACAGTAGTGTAACGAGTAATAAGATTCTTATACAATGAATAGGGGAAAGAGGTAAAATAAGAAAAAACGAAAACGAGAGAGAAAGAAAGAAAGAAACGGAAGGGAAAAAATACGAGAGAGAAAAAAGCTCCTTTATCTCGAAATTATTTACACGCGCCGCCGCTTCCTTTGCCGAATGATCATCTCCGGACGCGCGCGGGCAGTCTTTCCCTCGAGAATCGTGAACGACGAGAATACCGAAAGTCGCGCACTTTGAAATCGTAGACGCAGTTCCCTTGAATGACACTCGAAATGACCGCGTATATTCCGACCGAGCGACAGGCGATTCTCGTGTTTACAAAACACGCGGATGTCGAGGCGAGTTTGCCGCGCGCGCGCGCATGTGTGTGTGTGTGCGTCCTCGGCAAAGTACCTCGCTGATTGACGGCGAGATTGCACCGGCTCGTGCAGCGGGGCCGTGAAAATGGCGGCTGAAAAACACACGGGAGGGTCTAATCCGTCGTCCGCGGACGGCGCGCGATTCACTTAGCGGAAATATTTGCTCGAGAATGGAACGCCGTGTGTGCGATTCGGCGGCGCGCATAATTCGAGACTCGGGCTATTACGGCGCGTCGTAAATATTATTACGTACGCGCGCACGGATATCTTCGCGTGAACGTCGTCGCTCGCGGGAGTAAGTATTGTAATCGGCCGGCGCGGCCGATAGCGATTACGACGATCGAGCGTAATAAATGCGCGCGCGCCGCGACGTCTCGTCGCCGGGAGAGGACGACGGGGAGGAATGTGGTGGTGGTAAATGCGCTCTCCGCCGAGCGAGCCGGCGATATTACGATTACTGCGGGATAAATATCGCCGACGCGGACGGAATTGAGCGCCGCAAAAGCGGGGCCCGATCATTGCGACGCGTAATCACCACGGTGGGCACGGTTACAAGGTTACATGATCGCTCAGCCGGCCGATAATAATGGATCGTTACGAAATGAGCGATTTGCGGGATTGTTAGCGACGAGCCGCGAGCGCGCGGTTGTGCTTGCGCGAATTCCAGGACGCGCGAGCGCGCGCGCGCGCGTCGTTACGTCGCGAGAAACTGTCGCGTGAAAGTGCAGCATCGCCGAATTTGCGTACAAAACATACACGCGATTACGTCGGAGCAGCTGCGCGTTGCGTCAAGTGGGATCCTTTTACCGAATGCGCCGAGGGGAAAGGAGGCGTTTGGCACTTGCCGCCGCCGCTGTATGCTTTCACACGGTGAAAGTGTCGTCGTCGAGAGATTTTTGTAGAAAATGTTGATCGTTAAAGTCCGCGGTGCCAGTGATGAAGAAAAATGAGCTTGTGTGTTCTGAGCAAAACGTTGCTAGAGCCGTGAAGCATAAGGCCCCGATAAGGCTGAATGGTTGTTGTTACCACATCAGGCCCCGAGATAGGTATTTTAGAGATACTTGAAATTTTACGAAATAAGGCTTTGATAAGGAAGGCTTGGAAAGATTGATTAGGGATGCCTTAGATTTTACGAAATAACGCTTTAACATGGAAAACTAATGTGCGCCTTAGGAGGATCTTTAGAAGAGGATGCTTTAGATATACAAAATCAAGTTCTGTTATAAAAAATTAATAAGATCTGAAGCGTGTAATAAAATTGTCATAGTTTAGTATTGCTTTAGTAGGTACGCTCTATCTGATTTTTCTAAAGATTTTTTAATTATATCACAATTAAAAACATTTTATTAGTTTTATTAGTTGCCATATTTATCAGTCTCTCCTCAGGATTTTTCTAGTATTGCCTTCGTTTTGAAATGCAACAAACTTTGATAAAAATAGTAGCAGGATTTTTGTGTGTAAAAAATGCTATATTTTATTGTAAAGTGTGCTATATTTTTAAAATAAAAAATTCTTGTTGTATACTAACAAGGTTATAACGAAATGAAGAAATTATTAAAATTCTAAATTTCTTGGAATGAGAAGAAGGAATATTTTTACTCAAGCAATGATAAAAATATTTCCTTATAAAGTCCTATTAATATTGCCTTATAAGGACTGTTGATATCGTCTTATAGGAGCCCGTTAAAGCATTTATCGCACATCTTGTCTCTCTACTCTTAATAGGGCCCGATTGATGTTAAGGAAAAATAATCCAAGCCCTTACCAGAGCCCTATTAATTTTTCGACTCAGGCTGTTTCCACTATCAATTCTTTTTTTCGTTTTTTTTTTTTTTTTTTTGCGGAGTGAACCGCAATTTTCGGGCAGACCATCGGCTTTCTTGTCCCTCAGTCGCACCCTCGTTTTATTCCGCAAAATTTGAGAGATAGCCGCGCAATTACGCGGTTAAATGAACAATCGACGTTGGCGCGAAGTTAGTTAGCCTGGTGCGCGTCGATGTATGCACTGTCCGACGGAACAACGTTACGAGTATCGTGCGCAGAAGTCGATATGATAATACGCTTAAATTTATTCCGCGCTCAACGCGATATCCGTGTTATTCGGCGCTCGGCGTCTCGTTGGCAGCGGATAAACGCCAAAATAATCCGGCGATTCGCGAGAAGAATTTTCCGCGCGCGCGAGTGGAGTCCCTTGTATGTGGGTGTATGATGAAACGTGAAAGCGGTAGTCGCCGGTAACCGACTACTCTTTTAGGGCTTCGGCGGATGGCGCGCGCGCGGGTGTTCGTTGTGTTGCATCCGAACAATGAATTACGCAACGCGGCTCGTTGGAATACATATACTGCCGCCTTCCTCTCTCTCTCTCTCTCTCTATCTCCCTCTCTCTTCCCCTTCCCCTTCTCGTCCTCTTCTTTAACAGGCAGGCAGGCAGGCAGGCAGGCGCGTTCAAGCCGATATTACACGGTATTACGCGGTGTACGCTCGCTCGCTCGCGTTGCATTAGGCAGGAAACGCGAGGAGGAGTCGTTATATCGTGTCGACCTGCTTCAGGCGCGCCCCGAGGAACGCGCCCGAACGCCCATCGCCGTCGACGGAGAGAAGCGGAACGCGCTCCTGAAAATGTCAGACATCGAGAGCGAAGCGGCAAATACACATGCCGTCTCGCTCGTGCTCTCTCTCTCTCTCTCTCTCTCTCTCTCTCTCGCGCGCGCGCGCGCGCGCGCG